GCCTCTCTTCAATGCCCACACCATCCTCATCGGACACAGCCTGCAGAGCGACCTGCTGGCCTTGAAGCTCATCCACGGCACCGTGCTGGACACATCGGTGCTCTTCCCGCACCGCCGCGGCCTCCCCTACAAGCGCTCCCTTCGCAACCTCGCCGCTCACTACCTCGGACAGGTCATCCAGGACCGCGTGGATGGCCACAGCTCCAGCGAGGACGCCAGCGCCTGCATGCGCCTGGTCATCTGGAAGATGGGACAACACGCCGACACTCAGCGCTGACCACAGCCCAGCATGTTGTGGACAGGACTAGGACTCTGGAAAGTGCTTTGTGATCACATATATCTCTTGCCCCACATGTCTAACAATAAAGGAATGGTTCAGTAAACCATAGGACATCTGTTGTGTTATTTGTCATCATGTCATTTCCTGTACGACCACCTGGGCTCTGGGTTTCATTCAGATCCAGGAACCTGCCTGGGTTGCCGGCTCTACCCCCAAGGTGGGACATGCACGAGGCAGCTGATCAATGATTCTATCATCATTGATGTTTCTCTCTCTCTCTCTCTCTCTCTCTCTCTCATTCTCTCCCTCTCTCTCTCCCACTCCCTTCCTCTCTGAAATGTAATTTTAATATATATAGATTTTAAAATCATAACAATGATAAAATCTAATCTGCAGATCCTGTTAATACTTCAACTTTGATAATGTCAGGTCATCATCTTTTGATAATAAGTCTGGAACCATTACAAAGACCTCATTTACTATGAAGATTTCTCAATAGCATGATGATTGCACCCACTTTCAATTTTCAGTTAGCACACCGCATTCCCAAAGATGTAATACTACTAAGAAATTCGATGGGAACATTTTCCTTTTCAGCATCATCTGTGAAATCAATGGAATCATCACTCAAATATGTGTGGAAATCTCCATCGAGTATATCCAAATTTTCTTCATTTACTTTCTGAACATGCTCATTTTTTGGGCAAAGAATTGCACGTTTAGATATATTTGTAATATCACCTATAGATATAGTCTTTCCAGAAGTAGCTTCAATAATAGATCCATTACAAATCATTTTTCAGGGGATTTCAATAATATCCATTCCTAAATGAAAACGGCTATCAAGTTTGCCATCTCCAAGTAAGTTTGACTATTTGTACTATGGCCGATCGCATAGTATGCGGTACAATACTGAGACATTGTCGAAAATCCTCTCCAAGAAGGAGAACTTTCCCACCAAAGACAACATTCAAATTTCTCTTAGTAATCTGTCTATGGAGAGTATAGCATGACTGGATGCCATGGTGCACTCATCAATAATGAGAAGTTGGGCCTTCTTAAGAGTTTTAGCAATTTCACTGTTTATATTGAGTCTAGAAATTGCAGTTGCACTTAGAGGAATGGGTAATTTATAGTGGGAATGAAAGGTGCTTCCACTGAGAAGTAAATTTGCAGCAATTCCTGTAGATGCTATGGGTAAAACAGTACTACCATGACCTCTAATATCATGTATTAAAACTTGGTAAAGATATGTCTCCATACTCCAAGGGCCCGTCCCTGCCTCAAACCTCGCGCTCTCAGGAAACAGCTCAAGGAGGGTGCAGCCCTTTCCAAGATGACCCCTGCAGGACTGATTTCCTTCTGCCTGGTCGGGCCTCTGTCATGAGGTTACACCCAGGGTTTCCATTATATAGGATAAAACAGTTTTTGTGAGTGCGTGCCAAAACAAGCAAAATCTCTGACTCAAAATTCTTCTCCGTGCCAACTCTAATTTTTTGAGAACATGTTACGCCTACTTGATATCTCTTAAGGTGTACGTATGTGAAGAACCTTGAAGAAATAATAAAATTCATTCGAGCGACAAAAACACAGTATATGATAATGAAAAATACATTTATTTTTTAATGTATACATGTACACTCATAGTCTGACAGAAAACTTTATGACTCTGTTTGATATTATCAGTGGGACTTTTGCTGTTGCATCACTGATGACAGAGATTTTACATCAGGTTTATATTTCGTGACCTTCAGAGATATGCACGGGCTACTACTGTCATCGGTCAGGCTACTCCTATGACGAGACTTAACAAAATTCATCACTGAGAACAAAGATGCACAAGCGTATGTGGATGAAACCAAAGCACTGGTCAGATCTAGGAAGGCAGGGAGAGTTAAGGCAGAGGCATAGAAATTGCTCTTCCCTCTCTCGTCAATCCATGTCTATGGTCTTTAAGATAACTTGTTATGTAAAATTATTTATTTATCTAAGATGCATCCACACGGAATTTTTCTGAAAAATAAAAAAGTTGATATCAAGAAAAAAGAATTGGAGGAGACACCAAGATGGTGGCATAGGTAAACACTGGAAATTGCTTCCTTGCACAACAACTGCCGGAAGCCGGTCCATCCACAGTCGCTGCAGGAAAGAAACATCTGCACAGCATATGTTTCAACGGACCTGGCGTATATGGCATACTGTTCTTAATATGTTTGCTCCCCTTAGGGCTGTGTGTTTTAACCAAGGTCACCTCTCCGAGAAAGGTTGTTTCCCCAGGTAGGGATTTTCCCCTGAAGTCAGGGAGGGGATAAAACCCCTTAACTCAG